ACTTCCTTGATACATATTTTTGTGTGAGAGAATGCTAAGATATATACTTGATATAAAGAATGTGTTTGGCTGACATGTACAGAAAGCAAGTTACGGAAATTTAACATAAAACCTATGAATGGGTGCATCCTGGCGATAACTAAGTCTTACAGCACTTTAAAGTACAGTGGTACCTCAGCTCACGAATGCCTCAGTTCAAGACCAAAGTGGGTCACGAACAGAAATTTCAGAAAAATTTTGCCTCAGGTTGCGAACTCCGCATCGGGTGACAATTGCGATCGCACCCGACTTCCCTGCACAGGCACGATCGCGGTTGTGCTTTGGGGGTGGGGGGAGGTGGCCGCGATCATGCTGGAGGGGGAGGAGATGGCCACGATCGTGGTTGCACTCGTGCAGGGAAGATAGATGGACTGGGGTCGTGCTGTGTGGTGGCCACAATCTTTGTTGTTCTTTGTTACTCTGTTGTTCTTTGTCACTGTTTCAAATTTGTTTGATTAAAAAATGGTTACCGAACGGATTTACCTTATTTACATTAAACCTTATGGGGAAATTTAGCTTGGGTCGCGACCAGAGTCGTGGAACGGACTAAGTACATGAGCCAAGGTACCAGTGTAATTGGTGCAACTGCATAATAGAAGTATAAGCAACACTTTATATTGCGAACCTACTGACTGCTTCACTTACTACTGACTGCTTCACATACTTGCCACTGTATGTCTGTGGTTTGGGTTGTGCCAGTGGGGCCCAGCACTAGTACATCTTAGAGCAGTTCTGGAACATTGCTGAGGCACTGACTTCCAGTTTGGGACTCATCAACAGAGCGGGGAAATGCTGGCTTCTCATTGTGCTGGCAGTTCATCATTCTGATGTGTGGGCGATGCTGGATACTGCCTACTGTGACACGGTTGTCCTTGTCTAGGGATTTTCTGACATGTGATTTCTGCATGTAGATGATCATAGACCAACAATTAACTGGTCACATTTGATTCCCCAGAGTGAAGTGTTGCCTAGATATGTGGGTATTATCCTGAGACAGATGCACAGAAATTATTTACAGGACTCTTGAGAACTGGCTTGTCTTTCCATTTTTTTTAAACTTCAGAATTTCAATCATTCTTTACATGATAACAAGATATGGTACTATGAGAGCATAGTACACAGATCGAAATACTAACTGGTTCTAAGAAGCAAAATGCATTTCAAAAACATTCCAAGAATAGTTTCAGGAGCAAACCTTTCTTTAAAGAGTAAAATATTTTACCTGTATAACATTTCCAAGTTGTTCCGAAAGCATAAGGGAAGTCAAGATGAGGACAGATGTTCTTGTAAGTAGCTTTGCCCCTAGTGTTTATATGATTCCTTTTGACTCTCAAGAAAGAATAGAATTTAAGTTCAGCACTTTTAAACAACAAATTGTTATTATCAACGTCTCCAGCCACAACTTATATCTTTCTTCATGTGACTTTTCAGTAGTCTTCCCTTATATTTCCAAAACAGGATGCCTGATGTTAAGTCGCATCTGAATCTTCCACCTCTGTTTTCTTAGGGCTAGGTTAATCATGGAGTGATTTCAGTTTTATCCACTTCCCAAAATACTGCTATACTGTAACTTGCCCACAGCACTCTTTCAGCAAGAAAATGGTCAGGGCGGGGACACACGCTCACAACCCCACCTGCTTGACCCATCTGTGTTCTACTAAAAAACAAGTTGGATGACTTTCTGTGTTAATTGGCAGCCTGACCATTCATGAACCAAGAAACCATGAAGAGAACTGACCCCTTCCCCAAGCTTTTTTCTTGCTGCTAAAAAGGGAGTAATTGATAGGGAAGTGTGGCATTGGAAAATATGTTTTCTTTGAGTCTGAAGAACTTCTGTAGTGTTTCTAATCATGTGATCTAAGAGATTGTGGTGGATTTTTTTCAGGTTCCAGAAATGTACCAAAATAGTTGAGCTGGTTGAGAATTAAGATCTGGATATTTGTAGTGCCATTTGTGCAAATGAGGCCTTTTGTACAAATGGTGCCCAAAGCTTTAATTTTTGCTAATACACTTGTGCTGGTTTTAGTACTTTATCACATTTTTAAGTTCATTATGTCACTTTTAACCTTTCACCACCACTCCTGTTCTCTCCTTCATGAAGAACTTGTTATTTCTCAGCTCCCATGATATGTGCAAATGCTGTTATGCTTTATTAGCCCCCACCATTCTTCTTATCAAAAGCGTGAATGCAATATCAGATTTCTTTTGCTCTTTTGATAATCTACTTTATTCCAAGAAATAATGCTCATTTCATCCACTTGTTTATGGTTATGGTTATACTGCTGGTGAGTTTTTAACAGTATTTTTAGCAATGAGGTAGGTCCCAGTGGGAGAAAAGATGTTTCTTTATGTTGGATGCTCATGTCTTGTCATTCAGTTTCCAAGGTGGCTAGCAATAATTACGATGAAATCCATCTGTCAGATTTTACAGTAACAATAACATTAACAAATACAAAGCAAATCCAGAATCTCAACACCTAAACAGCTGTACAAGTATCAATTAAACTGTGGTAAAAATAACAACAGATGATGAGTAAAACATTTCATTTTGAAGCCTAGGAGAATAAAATTGCCTACCTGCTGGGCTAAAATAGGGAACACTTTCTATAGCAAGGTTACCAATGCAGGAGGAGCTCTCTCTGGTTGCCACCTTTCTGACCTCTGAAGGCGGTAGCATCCCAAGTGAAGATGCGCTTGCATCTCACCCATAGCTTGGAATGTGCTTGGTCATGTACAGAAAGCACTACGTGGAAGCACTGTCACTTGGGATAATTCGAATACTTACATTCTTAAGGTGAGCAGAGCTTCTATTTCTATAGATTTGCAATGGCCATGAATGGTGGGGCATCTGGTGGTTATTGATCCTTTTCAGTCAATAATAATGGAAAAGGGAGAGTAGGACATTTTTTTTACTACTGTGTTATTAATGCCTTTGGATGTAGCATAAATTAGATATGCATACAAAAGTGCTTACTATATATGGCTGCAAGGTAGAGCGTACATGTTAATTCAAACCAGCATCTGACACACATAGTACTAAGGTAGCTGTGATGATCAGAAGGGCAGCGTGGTAGCAGAAGCACACTGCAGCGGCAGTGGAACAAGCACCAAGCGCTGGGCAAGCCATGGCCATTTTTCGCTGGCCATACCTCCTGTTGTGGAACTGTTTCCATATATCTTAGTGAGCATACAATCAGTGAGCATTGTATCTGTCTTTAGGCACGTACATCGAATATGAAAGAAGCAAGGATAGGTGGCAAGTGCTGAAATCCTCACGCGAAAGTGAACACAGGGGAACATGGTGCAAAGAGATAAGTGGTTCTGTGCAGTCCAGGAATATGCCGGACTCATATAGTATAGTAGAAAGTGAGATCATGTAATAACACCCATTCAGCGTCCGGGTACATGAGAGGAGACCAATCAGTCATCGGTCGTGAGATAATACATCACACCCATAGTGAGCACAACAGTACGTCACTCAACCATCGTACCTATCAGCAAAAAATGTTACAAACTAATAAAAAATAATAAAAGCACCTCTGTTCATGACTCAACTTACTCGTTGCCTATTGGGCTATCCTGTCCCCAGACAGAGAGTGTGATCTCTTTACCTCCGACCCATCCTGGTCAAAACTGGGTTAGGACTTGGAGATGGAAAATGAACTAGTAGTCATGTGTCAGGACTTCTATGCCATAGTATGGGGAGTGATGGTCACAGCTGCCGTGATGGCAATAATTACAACACAGCATTGCAGAATCTTAGAAAATGGCTGGGAAAAGCTGCATAAACAGAAGAACACATGGAAAGTACCTGCAGGGTTGTTGTTGACCAGTACTCCTGTGTCCATTGGTGATACAACACATTTACTAAATAACTTTGCTGCTTATACCAGCAGATGGAAAATGAGGCCATGTTGAGCATTGTGTAGTACAGAACTTGTAACGTCACTGAATAACTTGAAGGGAGAATTGAAGCTACGGTTCCAGTGCCTGTGCTACTGCATACTGCATCCTTAAGGGTGTGATTCATAATGCTGCTCCATTGCATAGGAATATATGCCTGTTATGGAATAATGCAGAGGAGACAAACCAATACATATCACCTTCATCCTTTAATAAACAGTACAGATTTCGTTAGCTACTGGATGAAGAACTTTGTGTCTTGAAATTGTGTCCTATGACTTCCAGTAATGTGTACACATTTTTTTGAAGTCTGACCATGTGTTCATTCCACATTCCAGTATATGAAGTGGTCATGCTGGCTTTTGAAGAAGGCTTTCTGATCATTCTTGTGAGCCAACCCTGAGGTACCTGATTTCTGATCGCAGTTGTGTGTACTATTGCTTCTCTATAAATAGTCATATGTGAGAGGTCTGGTGGAAATGCTGAGTGGTCAGATCTGGAACTATGAGTGGTCAGATCTGATTCCTGAAGATGAAGAACATACTGCAACTGGCTTTCTAATTCTAATAAGAAACAAATGTGCCTTCTGTCTTCTGCACAATGGAAGATATCTGCCAAAAAGGCCATGAACCCTCTCCTAGCAAAAACCAGCATATTCTCCAAACTTCAGACATCGTTGGCCAGGCTGTCTTATGCCAGGAGGCGTGCCATACTTAAAGAAATCCAAGGATCCAGCGTGTTGAGCTGTTCAAAAGCAGTAGGGCCAGGTTTCCTACTAACTACCTATATTGTCATTCTTCATGAGGCTGGGAGCCACTGGATAGAGGGACATGTGAAACTGGCTCAAGAGAACCTTCTTTGATTCACCTGAAAATTATAATCCTTTCTACTGACCTGCCTCCATGTTACAGGTGGATCAGGGACCTCATAAGAGCTGCTGAGCAGTGCCAGTCTTTGATCATCACTAACGGGTAAGTTTGGTACCTCGGAGGCTTTTAAGTTTTGCTACCTGTAGGCCTGGACTTCATTTTCATGCACTTAAATTTTTTGTCCTGCAGGTAAGGAAGAGCTAGCAGAGAGAAGTCATGGATCCATAGCAAAAGCCAACAGCAGCACAGGCAGTGTTAATACTGCCACTCTACACCTAATGTCTCTCCACAAAATTGCCGCTACAAAAATTGATGACAAACACACTGAAGATAGCACTGATTCCCAAGAGAGGAAGGGAAAGGATGTGCCTCCACATGTACCTGAAGACACAGGAGGCAGTGATCAGCCAAAAGACCATGTGGACCCTGCCAATTTGTTGCAACCACAGTTAATGTAGAATGCTGATGAGGACATAAAAGTCATCCAGGATGGTGAGTTATCCTGAGTGAGGATGCTCAAGACATAGCATTCTGCAATCTGCTGCAGTGCTTATGGGATGGAACTATCTCCATATGTTTTGTGCTAAGCAGCTATGGACATGGTCTTTTTTGGTGTATGCACATCGTGTGGAAAATAATAGTAAAGAGCGAGAAAAAGCATTTGACTGGGAGTGGTCTGCTACATTAGGTTATTAATGCTGGTGCAGATACACATGTGCCTGTTTTGACTGAAATATGTAGCTTTGGAACTTACGTAACAGAAATATGGAAATCTCTCATATGTAATAATGTGTCCCTTTATAATGGTTTATCCCCATCTAGTCTTCATGGTACCTGCACCTCATGGCACATCAGCCTGGTCAGGGATGGCTGAGGATTCAGCTGGGATGGACATACTTTCTTCTGTTGAGAGCTGAATTCTGATGAGTAATCTGTTGGAGGCTGCATGTTGATGGTAGGCAGGGCAGAGCCCAAAGTAGGTGGGTCTCTTTCCTCTTTTTGCCACTTCCTCTTCTCCATGCCCCCTCGCCTCCTACACAGTGGGCGGTTGTGAAAGGGACAGATGACTATTGCTGGAGATAGGGACAGATTGCACATAGAGGGCTTCTGAAGTTAGGCTGAGGGCCTGAGATTGCCCTATCTGCCCTAGGTAATCATTTAGCTGTTGTTTGAGTGGCTTAAATGCAATGTTGCATATTAGGTCTTCAGTCCCTTCCCAGACAAGCTCTAGACAGTCCCCTTGAGCAGATTTGGGTGGATACAGGGCCCAGGAGAAATGCCTTCCACCAGTGGTTTCTTTTGTATTGGTTTCAAGCCAGTGAACCCAACCCTTTAGTCCTCTTTGACTAATAGTATCTATACCTCTCTTTATTCATTAAACACTGTTTGTCTGAAGCCATCATGCCTGCCTTATTCATCTGGGATTTAATTATTTATAGCCCACCCTTTTCCCAGCAAGGAACCCTGGGCAGCTTACCTAATCCTTGTCTTCTCCTTTTATCCTCACAACGACCTTGGGTAGACATGTGCTGCTGCATAAGATGCACTTGTCTGATGAATGGAGTGGAACGCAACATCTTGGCTGTGTGAGCATACTCTTCGTGCTACATATCAGCGTATCTGTACATGTTGGCTTGTCCCAAAGGTTCATGACCTTGGATGGTTAATTGTCTTTTGGATAGTATTGCATGTCTGGTTTTTTTCCCCCTTGCTCTTGTTGCTAATCTTACAATGTTTTTATGATTCATGGAGTCTGTTCTAATGATTTAGCAAAGAGGTGGCCAACCTGCAGCTGATAAGCTCTATCTGATTCCTTCTGGCTTCCATTACTCCTAGCACAGGTTAGAATTGTTGCACAAGTTTCTTGCATACAGATTTTGCTTGTTCTGTATTTCTTCAAAAGTATTTTGGGAAATACAACTGCTGAGGCCAAAACTCACAGCATGAGAAACTCCCACAGTGCTTCCAACTTGGCATGCCTGTTTTGGGGGTGTTTATCTGCATGCATATTATTGTTAATCATAAATGTATGTCAGTGTTCACAAGTATTTTCATTATGTGGTATCTCTGGAACAGCTTTCTCCAACTTCCAGATGTTTTGGACTTCAACTCTCATCAGCCCCAGCCAATGGTCTGTGGTTAGGAGTTCTGGGAACTGTAGATCAGAACATCTAGAAGATACCAGGTTAAGGAAAGCTGCTTTACAATTGTACATGGTATTACTTTTTTTCAGGCACCCCCCTCCCCCAGTTTTGCGAATTGCTTTATGTTGCATTTTATCCAAGAGCCATTGACAGCCACTTGAGAGACCTGCAATTCTTTGACAAATTACTTCTGATGGATCTTATACATCATTCTGGAACAAGAGATGCCGGGACCAAGCATAACTTCACATATGTATTGCAAACTGGAGGGTTACATATTAGTTGAGCAGCAGTTTCATATAGTTAAAAAAATTACATTTTGTGGTCAAGTTATTTGCAGTATTCCTATTTTGAATTCTGTTCCTCCCACAAGAAGAATTTCTCTACCAACAGTCATGCTCATTGAGCATAGTTAATTTTATTTGATAGGCTGTAATAGCACCTACTACTGTTTCAGAACTACTTGCTAATAGCAGTAATAATGCACTGTCTTACTTGGGCTTAGTGTGTTGAGTTGAAGAGGGATATCATAGACCAGAGCGCAGAATATATTGATGTTTGCCATATGATACAGCTGTTTTCCATGTAGAAGTGTTCTGCCACATTTTTAATTGCATTCCTTTCTCTGCAGTTGGTAAATAGCCCATTAATGTCTGTAGGCTTAGGCAGAGGTATGAAATATACTAAAGATAATTTGATAATTCCAAAAACTTCCTAGTTGTGTTAAAATTCATGTAACAAGCGCAAGTCATGTACTCTTCCTCTCACATGCCGCTTTCATTTTTTGGTTGACTAGCTTTAGGTATATAATTTAGCACCATGAATGCTAGAAAAGTGCATTGTTTCATCAATTACTTTTCATAGTGAAAAAGCCTAATTATAGAAACTAGAAGGATGAGTCCTATGTATTAGTTTTTGTTTTATTGCAAATGTAGCAATAGCATTTTGCCGATAGAATTGCCTATCCTCTCCCATTAGAGCATCCTATTTTCACGTGTTTTCGCCATGTTGTAGAAACATTTAAAGTCTGCCTCAGGCTGAACACTTTGACAATAATGGTTATTCCATTTCCAGGAATGTGATTATGTGTACAATCCCATTCCTCTTGATAGGCAAATGCCTTCTTTCACTGAGCTCTGAGGCTTCCACATATTGAATCAGGGATGTTATTTATTTCATTTAACATTTGAACATGTGCCATCCATAGGGCACAGGGCACATTGCAAGGTAAAAATGGAAAAAAAGAAGCAATATTTAGGATGTTGTGCAAATGTATGGTAAGGCTGCCATCCTGTGTGTACCTATTGCAAAGCAAATTCTATTAAAGGTGTGGAATTTAACTCCGAAGTAAAAAAAATGTATAGGGGTTAGAATGCAAGGCTGCTAATTTGTAAGCATGGGGGCATTGCCCTTCATGTGCACATACCTGCCTCGTCTTCATACCTTTAATTATGGGATCACATTTCTTCCCCATGTGGGATTACTGAAATTTCAGCAAAAACTATTGACAATAACCTGGGAATGAATTAGTGCTTTATAATTAATGAGCTGTCGGTTATAGGATTCTGCTTCATTTGTTGAACATGCTGGAAGGTGTATAGCAAATGAAATAAGCGGAGGTTTGCTGCAGTGTATAGGTTGAAGGTATGAATGAAATTATGCAGAACAGTGTTAACCCTGTCCCTCTGTTGAGAGCTGGCTTGGTATAGTGGACATTGTGTTGCACGGTGCACCCACACACCCACGCACAGGTTTAAACTTTTGCTCAGTCAATTTCTGGGTAGAACTAGACATTCCAAAACAAAAGCATTGGTCACGTGCCGCCGAAAACAGCTACCCTGTGTTCTGTTCTCTCCTGCCATAGCAGAAAATGCCACTTACCTCCTGTGTTCATACTATGACACTTCTTTTCCCTTTCTCTGTCAGTAACAGCAGTGATCTGAAGCAGGGACTGGAAAGCTCACCGTGTCATGACACAGGGGAGGTTGCAGTAGGTATTAGAGAAGTTGCAAAGGGAATCTAAAACAAACCTGACATTTCAGGCAGTAGCAGTTTCAAGGATTGTGCTCTTGGGCTAGCAACTCTCTCTGGCTAAATTACCCTCATAAGAGCCCTGTATGTTAAAACAGGATAATCCCAAGCGCTCTGCCATCAAATTCCTTGCAAAAAGAGTAAGAGATAAAAGGATATATAAGAATTACAGAGTTCGTATGCAGTATAAACCAGGTTAATGTAACACAGTTCTACTAATGTTTTCCCCATTTTCTAGATGCTTAATTCAATCCAGTAGAGACTTTATATTCTGTAGTGCTGAGTGTTCACAACTCTAGATACTGAAAAAAAAAATGCTATATTTAAGGTGTCCTTCATGTCCTCTATAAAAATCCTTTCCGTGAACCTCATAGTAAGGAGTATTTCCCCTTAATAACGCCAGTATTCAGATTGTACATCTGACATAGGAACAATAATTCCTTCTTGCAGTGGATATTGGTTGTAAAAGTCTATAAAGAAATGCCTATATTATGGTGCTAATCCCAGAGAAACATTATTTTGGATGATAGTAAAATAATGCATGAAACTAATTGGACACACACACACACACACACACTTTTATGTAGAGGTACCTCACCTGTGGCATATTCTGTTTTTTATTTTGCATTATTTAAAATTACAAAGAATTTGATACATTTAATCAACATAGGGAGAATAAAGTTTATATGCAACAATGTTGTGTGCAGTTCAGATAAGAGACATGGTTTAGTGCCATATAAATAGGTAGAATTTGCTTTACTATTTGAATAACATTTCTTCATTTTAGATATAAAAGAAGAAGATTCAAAAGAACAAATGGAAAAGAATCAGAAAAAGTATTATTCTCTGGAAAGTAAAAATTACAGTGGATACAGTTATGCCTGACAAGACAATTGTGAGCATCTTGCCATCATAAAGGTACTGTATAAAGGTTTGGCAATGTGTACGCATTTATTCTCACAAGTATTCATATGATACATATTTTGTAGCAAACCCTGAGGTTGTTAAATGTAACATTTATAAAAGATCTTTTAAAAATATTGCTAGTAATATAAAGTACAGTAATGGACATGTCTACTCAGAAGTAAGTAGGTTTGCCTAAACTTGCACTTGTGTTCTATACCACTTATCTGGGACAATGTCCCATTGGGATTCCCAAGAAGAAGCAAAGAGGATTGCGTTGTTAGTATAAAAAGTAAGATCGCCCTTGGCACTGATCTCCTTGCATATTATCCCTAAAACAATTATGGTGGTATTGCAGAACTACCTCAGAATAACCCAAG